GAATAAAAGAAAAGAACAGAAACAATTCAAGGGTTGAAATTAGGATAATTTAAAGGAAACAATTATAAAGGGAAAAATATTAAGTAATTTAACTCAAGGGAAAAGGGGAAAAGGAAAACAGAAACAACAAAAATCATGCAAAGGCCACATGGAAGTGCAGAGGAAAGAAGTTACTGTCTACTTCCCACAAATGAGTGATGCCTGACAATGTCCTTGAAGCAGGGCCTCAACATCCACAGCCATTGTTTGGGAGGACAGATTTTTTCAAAATGAGAGCCCACCCCTCCCCTCTTCTTCCATTTTTATTTATAATTTTTATATATTCCACTTTTTATTGCTGAGTGTGACCCCACATGACATGGAACATCCCTTTGGTTGGTCTAGGTCAGCTGCCCTGGTGATGTGCCCTCCCCATCTCCTGCCCATCCCCAGCCTGCTGGCTCTGGGGGCTTGGAGGGAGTCCTTATGCAGTGCCAGCATTGCTCAGCAGCAGACACAACATGGGTGTGGAACCTAGAGCAGCACTGGTATAAGTGCAGAGCACAGCACTGTACGGGCTGCTGCTGGGAAAGTCAACTCCATCCCAGCCAGACCCAGTACACCTTGCCTTTACAGTCTGCCTGCATTATTAGTTGTCATGGTTTTCACCACTAAACAGCCTTTGGTTTCTTTCTTAACTATTTTGAGACAATAGCTGTATAGTTTCAAAAAAAAAAAAAAGACACAGATTAAAGATGTACAGATTATTTGAAAACGATGCATTACAGTCAGTCTGCCTTGTCACTAACCCTCATCTTTAACAGAGATAAAGTTGTCAGTAATATTGCCTCTTTCATTGAATTTTACTCAGTTCAAATTCATTTCTATATATTTCACTCATTTAAACTATTTATAAAATATTTTTGCAATAGTTTAGAAGTAGCTGACAGTGTTTGGAGACTACCCTACAAAATCTCTCTACCAAGAAAAAAAAAACAAGTATTTCCCTAAAACTATGTCAATCAGCCTAAGTTAAAATAGCATCAAGAACAGCACAACCGGTGTTTTAACTTGGGATGCCATCTCTATCTCACCTTAATCTTCCCATGGGCTGAAGTGCCAAGACAAATTAACAGCTCAGATTGCCTCATATTCATTGCCAGGTTAGCCTGAATTAGATCATTCAAGTGAGCCAGCTGAAGTTACAGAGGCTTATGTTGCAGTATCAGTTGTCTAAATTCACATATCCCATTGCAATCTCATAGCTTTCCCCAGAAAATTTCAGCATGATGTTTTGAAGTTTGATATTCTCATTGCTTGTTACTGTTTTCAAGAAAGCTTCTTGCAAAAATCATTAATAATGTATATATTTTTGAGAACCTGCTTTAGAAATGTCTGCTATTGGGTAAAAATTTCTATTTTCCCTTTGAATGTCTTTAACCTGCCCAAATCCCAAAAGATTTAGTAAACTTAATATTAGCCAAAAAGATAGCAATAGGGTTACAAAAGTGTCATTTATTTCCCCTCTAAGTATCCAGTCAAAAATCAATCCTCATGTACCTGCAAGTCGGAATTTGTCCTATATTTGCACACTTGGTAACTGCTCTAGCTGCATTGTGCATCCTCCAGACAGTGTATGGCCAAAATGGGTTCTGCTACTGCAATTACTTTGAAATACAAGAAATGAATAACAACAGCAGTTCATGTCAAACAGAAGCTATAGCAACAGAACCCAGGAAATAATATTTTTAGAGGACGTTAAATTGAAGTTTGCTTTTAGGTCATACAATTGTGGATCAGTGAGGAAGTGACAAATCAAAAAAGTGGCACCTTATAATTTAATGATTGAATAAAACAGAATTATGGATCATCTGATAATAAGACATTTAAAACAACAACAAAAAATGTTTTTACATTAAAATTTCAGGAACATAAAGCTTTCGGGAAGAAAGGAATAAAATGAAATATGAAAAGGGCATCATCTTCATATGCAACATATGTATCACCAGGAAATTCCGAAGGAAATAGCAGAAAAAAAAAAAGAGGAAAAATAGGTATATCAACTCTCAGATACAGTAGGTTTGCTATTCATTTTGAAAAAGCAACCACAAAAAAAAAGAAGAAACTGTAAGACGAAAATAGTCCTTTATAAAAAAAAATGCCAATCAAACTCTTTCCCTGAGGTATTTTTTAGCCTATAAAAAACAAGAGTTACTGGAAAATTAGACTGCAGGAAAATACTGTAGATGCAATATTAAATTTGTGTAAGAAAACAAAGAGATGGTCAGATTCACAATATATATTGGATCACAGAGCTAACAGTAAAAAAAAAAAAAAAACATTTTGTAATCAATAACATCAAAACACAGGTGGAATGTTCACATGTGTAATACCTGGTGTCCCAAAATAGCACACAGAGAAATAAAGGCCACCTAAATGAAGCGATTAATCTGTTCTGTAAGTGCATTATTCAAGCCGAGGTTTGAACATACTGGGTGATTTAAGACAGCAGTGAAATATATTTCAGAGCTACAGGACTTGGATCAAACCAAGTGCCTAACTGTGTTTATTAAGCTGGTGCCCACTGCCTCTCTAACAACAAAATATACACAACAGCTGAGCTAATACTTTTTTATTTATTGTTTTTGCTTTGTTTTTTGAGATTAAAGACAAGCATGCATTCACCTCAACTCCTCAACCCTTCTGGAAATGAATCCTATGAAGCAATTTGTTCCTAGGTATACCAGACTGCCGAACAAAGACACTGGATGATTCGTGATGCCACCACAAGGGAGATACGGAACTCCATGGGTACAGGTGGGAAGAAAGGATACAGCAGAATCTGAAGTAATCATTAAACCATGCTTCATAGCAGAGCTTTGAACATCTTAAATCATGTTCACATCCCCCAAAAGACAGCTTGATCAACGTGAAATTATCTTGAAAATTACGAAACAGAGAATGAACGTGTCATTTTTGTTTGCCTTGCCAAGTCTAGAAAAGTCTGAATCTTAATAAGGCATCAAGATACGGAAGACATAAGACAGCAATGACCCATCTTTACTGCCCAAATCCACGAGCACTGGCTTCATATGTGTACTGAAAGATTAACAATTAGATCATATGAACCACATATGATTTATGTGCACCAGACATGAAGCACCAAGGCAATGATGCTCTCTTGAACCCCTCAAATGACAATGTGATTGGGAATCAGAGGCTTCAGTACTGACAATAAAGCTTACGCTATAGAAAGTAACAAACTAGCTATTTCCCCAAAATTCAGGGACTTGTGCCAGCAGGTTATGAATATTGCTGTTATTGATAGGGTTTTAGATTGAAGGCTAATGTCAGAAGACTGAAACCATAGTCAATGTGTTTTGCAAGGGGATGAAAAGCAAAACGTAGAATGACCTCACAAAGTACTTGGATTAGTAAAAGGGAGGAAACAATCTGCCTAATTTATAATTTTGTTATCCTTAGAAACAACTGCAATTAGTCAAAAGCTAAGAGATTAACTTTAATAAAAGAGGGGAAGTGCTGGAACAGAACCAAGAAAAACAATAACTTTTTATGGTTCTGAAACTCTTTAAACAACATGCCAAGTTGCGATTTCAGTATTTTGTGGGATGTATTTGGAATTATATCATCAGATACGTGAATCCAATATGATCCTTCAAAAGCAGAAATCAGCAGTATGCCATATGCTGTATATCCTAAGCACTATTCAAAATAGCCTCATTTCATTTGACAGTACAAAGAACTGTCTGGATTTTGCATCTTTCCTTGGCAGACCAAATAGACTTATTACTATGTTTGTTTCAAGACAGAAAAATCACATCCAGCCTTGTGCTGCAGTCATGAAAAGAATGCAAACTGGAGGAACTCTTCACTTGAGATTTTGGGAGATGTAATATTCATATTATATTTTGGTCATAAAAGGTCAAACCTACACTCTTTTTGAAAGTAAACAGCTTTTCCCAGAGTGTGCAAAACCCAGAGGCTAGTGCATAAATTCATTTGGTGATTAAAAAAAAAAAAAAAAAAGCTTTTAGCACAAGCTAAATGCAAACAATGGATTTTGTATTTTATTATTATTTTTTTTTTTTAAAGAAAAAGCAACACGCTAAAAATCTATATTATAGTCACAACTACGGTCTCTGTGGGCATGTGGTCCACAAACACGTGACAATTACTGTTTTCACAGTTGACATTTCAGACTTTCCACTAGTTTCAATGTGTTAGTCAATGTGATGTATACTGTGGATTATTACTGTCCAGAAACATTGGTCATGTCCTGGAAGTTCTCACTTAAGCAAAACTTAAGAAAACTTTCCTGCATTGTAACCTTACCAACACAAAATATTTTAGATGTTGCAAAACAGTGTGTGATATGTAAAGCCATGCATTGTACTTGAGTTGTGAGATCAGCAAAGAACTACTACTTCCATACCAACAGCTCTCAAGAGACTGAAGCAAGATTTAATAAGCTAAAACAAAACATTTTTATTGATCTGCATTTGATTTAAATATGGCTGTGCAGTACAAGTCTTATATGAGCCTAAGAGCACGCCTGTGCTTCCTGACTGAACTGTAGTTAGTGTATTAGTAACTATAGGTAGTATATTTGCATGCCCAGAGACCTACCTGAGAAAAATGACTGCATCCTGATAACAACCACATTTCAGTCACTGTTCCAGAAGGAACAAATTTCAGTTCCCAGGATACTGACTCATAAATAAGGTAAATTAAATTGCTGTAGTAAGGTAAAGTAGGAAGCCAGCCTTATACTGGATGATTATAACTTGAGAAGCAGTAAAAGGGGTACACATTGCTGTGGTGGAAGTCAGGAGGAGCTCACTGAAATTGCACATACATCCAAAACATGATTATGAACATAAAGAAACATACTGTGATAGAGTCATGTATTATAGCAAAACTTACCTGATGTTGCAGAAAATGACTCAAAACCGTAAAAAGACCTCTTTTCTATTGCATATTGAAGAAAGATGTAAACTCACCTCTGGTTCTCCAGAGAAGATGGCAGTTCCTGCTTTCCCCCAGTCTAACAGCAGACAGAAAGGAAGCTATAGGGTATGTGGAGCAAACAACAACATAACCACATGCATCTGTGTGAAAGGGGTTGATAGATGCAACCTCCAAAATGGTCATCAGTACAAGCACCTTAATCTCCTGGAAATCATCATTAGGATACCATAATTTCCTGACAGAATAGTGTTTTACAGCTAGGTCTACCACCAGTAACAGGGATTTGTGTTCCTGGTAAGACATTGTGGCCATTTTAATGGGCCACACCCCAATCTGGCAAACCAACAGCTGTTCTTGGTTGGTTAATAAGAGTTTTGGCTACTATCAGATTAAATTGGATTCACACCGGTGACAGAAGCATAAAGAGAATGTTCACTGAATCCAGAGCATATATATTTTTAATATGGATCCTCACAGTTAATAACTTAAAACCACATACAGATTAAAAAGCTAAAGTTAATACTGTGCTTATATTGAGAGGCTAATTGCTTTTTCTTATGAAAATTTAAGTTGATTGACCAAGTTTTCAATTATTCAATTAATCAATTTAATCTAAACAGCAGGAAAAAAATTCCCATTGGTATAAACTAATACTTCTGACACATTTTTCTTAGGTACACCATTAAGAGGGGAAAATTGGCAAATACATCTAAATACATACAGAGGTTTGGGGACTTCAGGTTTTCAAGGGACATATGATTGACTGCAGTATATAAGAAATAAATTTTGGTTAAACAAACGAGTAAGGAAGAAATGTGGGGCCAGGGATAAGAAAGTGGGGAAGGAGCAAACAACAACAACAAAAACAGTTATACAGAAATAAATGGAGTGTAGATTTTTGTAAGTAATGAAAACAGATTTTCAAAATACCTTGTGGCAATTCTAACAAAGGCAGCATCTCAGCACCACACAGGTACTTGATTACCCCTCCACCAGTGGGGAAAGGGAGAGAATAGGAAGAGCAAAAGCAGGAAAACAACTCACCAGTTGAGATAAAGAATTTAATAAATGAAAGAAGGGAGGGGTGGGGGGAATAATATGAAGGAATTATTCAATAATACTTTTTTTCAATAAGATCCACAAGTAGACTGATGCCCAACCGCTCTGAGCAATGGCTACCAGTGGTGCTTGACTATCCCTCATCAGGGTAAGCAGCCAGGATGAAGGCTGCAGGCACCCTTTGATCAAGGACAGATGACAGGTGTTTAAAAGCTGCTACAGCTACCCTTACTTATCTTTTTAGACTCACCTGGCAACAGACACCCTCAAGTTCCTTGCAGGGCTCCCAGGATTTCTTAGATTCCAGGCTAAGTGCCCAGATGCTCTAGATCTCAAAGAAGCAGTGCCCAGGAACTGGTGTGTAGACTACTGGTGGATAGGTCTGGTGCCTTGCCTTTGGGAATTGCGCTCTGACCCCTCAAGTCAAGCCAGCAAGACAAAATCTATTTCATGGCTGCAACATTGTGTCCTTCCATGCCATTCAGCAATTTTATTTTTAAAAATTCCTGATTTTATTTTATTTTTAAAGCCTGTTTTTATGAAAGCAGAGTCCATTTTTTCACAAGTTGGCATAACACCTGGGCTGATCCCCTTCAACCTGGGAGACTAGTGTGCAGCCTCTGCAGACTAATCCAGGCAACATATGGGGATTAGTGAGGCACAGTCATCATGACCAGTGTTGTACAAGGGAGGAATAGCCTGGACTGCATTGTTCTTCTTCGGTTCGTATTAACCAACCTGGCTTTTACCAGCAATCAATTGAACTGGTCAGCTGCACAGCATGTTTTGCTGATTTTTTGTGTGTGTGTGTGTGTGTGTGTTCAGCATTTGGACCTTTTTCCAACACATTGCTCTCTTCAGGACAGAGAGGTTATTCATTAGTTGATAGCAGAAGCCAGGCAGGCAGTTTACAGATTGATGCTCCTTCTTAAAGATTTTCTATTATACTTTGATGATAATTCTACATGCTGGTACATGACAAAAGTTGAGAGTTGACAGAAGTGAAATGGTTCAAAGAGTTTAGGTATGAATGAGTTGGCAACACAAAACAAGAACAGCAGTGAAAAAATAAAAGCTATTAGCTGGATAAATCAAGAAATCCTTCAGTAACATGCAATTTTGGTGGTAAAATTTTCAGAAGCTGTTGACTGACTTGGCAGACAAAACATATTAAGTTTCTGTGGACTGAGATTTCTAAGCAAGTGAATCACATTCAGAAATGATAAAAGCTGTCTAAATCTCAAGTGCTTCTGAAACTTTTACCCACAGTCACTTCAGGTCCTCCAGTTCAGATATTGATGCAGACCAGAGGGAATATGGTCATTCACAGGATTTCACTGGTAGGACCATTTATTGCCGCAGCATGAGGCTAAGCATTTTGGCATGCTGGAAGCACAGTATAAGGAATGAGTTAGTATCTGTAATGAAAGCCCTATCCTTATCCCTATCACCATTAACTTTTAACAGCATCTTGATTGCCAAGGCAAAAGCATCACTTACCATTCACAGAAATCTTAAATTTCAAAGTGGTTATTCAGGTTCCTATGCCATAGCTTATATTAGTCATACTGCATCTCTATGACAGGAGCAAACAGCTTTAAAATAATGTCCAGCAGTCAAGATTTCACTGCGTATCATCTGCAGATATAAAGTATGTTACATGTAGTCAAACAGTACTTCAGCATTTCACAGATAAATACATACACACTTTTAACAGCTATTCTACTCTGACAAAAAAATAAAAAAAATAAAATATAGCAGCAGCTTGAGTGGCATTAAAATGAACAGAAAGTGCAAATAAAATTCAGATTTATTTCAGTTTCATTTCTACTTAACTGCAGTTATTCATAACATCTAAATGCACATTCACTGCAGTTTCTAGGTGCAATATAGTAGTTTTTATGCAGTTAAAATGAGTTTATGTACAAGAGAATTGCCACAAGCCAATTCAAAACTGCTTTTCACAACCCCTTTTCCTAAGTAAGCTGTATAGCAACAATTCTATTTGTGTTGTGTCAGCTGGCCCACAACTACAAATGCAAAATTACCATGAACAAAACTAGTTTTCTTTTTTTTTTTTTTTTAAAAAAAAAGTATTTGCAGAATCCCTATGAAGTAGATAAACACACCACATGCATTAAAAAGAGCAATAATACACAACAGACTATTCTTGCTTTGCTTTGAGACTCATTTGCTTGTACTGGGTCTGGCTGGAATGTTAACTTTCCCGGCAGCAGCCCATACAGTGCCGTACTCTGTACTTGTAGCTGGAACAGCAGTGTTATCACACCAGTGTTGTGTCTACTGCTGAGCAGCAATGGCACAGCATTGGGCCTTTCTCTAACCCTCCTAGGGGGTGGGCAAAAAGTGAGAAGAGAAACATCAGTAGGGCAGCTGACCTAAACCAACCAAAGGGATATTCCATACCATGTGATGTCACACTCAGCAATAAAAGGTGGAAACAGGAAGAAGAGGGGAGGGGTGGGCTCTCGTTGGGAAAACGTCGGTCCTCCTCCCGAACACCAGCTATGTGTGTTGAGGCCCTGCTTCAAGGACGTGGTCAAGCATTGCTCATTTGTGGGAAGTAGAGAGTAAATTCTTTCCTCTGCACTTCCACATAGCCTTCATTTATTTTATTTGTTTGTTTTCCTCCCTTCTTTTTATTTTTCCCTTTCCCTCTCCCTTTTTCCCCTTTCCCTTTTTATTTCCCCTTAGTTAAATTGTTTAGTTCATAATAATCTTTATTTAATTAATTATTATTATTATTTCCCTTTAATTAAATTATCCTTATCTCAACCCGTGAGTTGTTCTTTGCTTTACTTCTCCCCCTCCTCATCTAAAAGAGGGGGAGTGAGAGGGCGGTTGTGGGGTTTAGCTGCCCAGCATGGTAAAACCACCACATTGCTACATAAACATATATCCACATTCTTAATCCTAGTACCTTTCTCAATTATTACACCATAAGATTTTAATGCCCCTCAAGCTCAAATTATTAAGCACAGTTTGCATAAGTAACCTTTCATTTGCCTTACATGCACTTACAAAGACATGGAACTATAAAGATACGAAAGGACTTCAAGATACATTTATAACACATTGGAAAGGGCAGTGTTGCTCCCCATAGTGTTCCACATTTTCTTTTGGATTTCTCATAGCTCTTTGCATGGTAATTTCAAAGATGAGGGAATAATTCATTCAGTCTTACTTGCAACTTGCTATCCACGGAGGGAAATACAATTTCTAGAATCAATAAGAAATTCAACTCCAGTGATCCCCAAAACCATCTCTAGGAATAGTCTATAATTTTAAGCTCACTTGATAAGCACATTCTCCTGCACATGCTTCAGATGCAGCCAGCCCTCATTGAGCACAGGAGTCACAAATGGCAGGTTAATTATTTGTACTTTGGTAGTAATTGGAGACCTCAAGTGAGGTTATACAGAGCATAGTAAAATGTTATTTCAGATACTGAGACGTATTCAATACTCTGAAGAGCTTGCAAAACAGCTAACAGGAAATAAAGGAAACAGGTTACAGCGAGGGCCAGGAGGAAGCTGAGACAGGATTCACTCATATAGAAATGATGATCAAGAAAACAAGCAGCTCAGGGCACTTAAAGCAACAGGTCTCAAAACCCATAAACCCAAACTCACAATTTCAGTTCAACAGCTTAAAAAAAGAAAAAAAAATTAAAAAAAAAAAGGTGGGGGTGGGGGAAGGGAAGGTGGAGGTAGGACAACATGACAAAAGGGGGATGCAAGAAGCAGCCCTGTCAAGATGTTTTGAACGTTCTTGCTGCTGCAATAAACTAAAATTTGTGCAAAGAACCTCAACTCAGAAAATGAGCAATGACACCCAATCATTATCTGAGCAGAATATTCAAGTAAGACATGCATAATAAAGTAATTTTGATTCATTTTTGAGAAGTGATGGCATTTAGTGGGATTCAGTAAATTGTCCCTTTCAGCACTAATAACATGTTCATAGCTTTCCCCACCAGACATTCTATAATGGCAATATAATAGGATTGCAATGACAATTAAATGATTGCATATTTTAGGGCAATGGAGGGTATCCACTAGGGCATGAACCATTAGCAAAATGGTAACATTGTTACAGGAATTTTCATGCTTTGGTACAGCAACTGATAAATCAGAAGCACTGGAAGGGAACAGGTATTCAAATCTTGTACCTTCTTCACTTAAAAAGGCAGAAAAATGGAAGGTAATAGTGAAACTTAAAACA